TTTTTTAAGAATAGGAAAATTCCAGTATAATTGTACTTTATTTCCTATGTAGCTTGTAACATGAGCTTTGATTGGTTACACAGTCGGTTGTAAATTTCAGATCACCCGACTTGAGCCGGGGGTAAATAAAACATGACGTCGCAATGCATAGTTTTTGAATAATGCAAATAACATGACGTCACAATGCACTCTAGTACGTAGTAAATCTTATCTATATGTTAAGACACAGTAGATTTGGTTTATGTTTTTACAACGATCATTAGGCATTATTTATTATATGTAATGTTTTCTCTAGCTTTGTAAATGATATCCGATACTAACCCATACATTTAACTTCTATTCCTAAAAGTTTATCAACTTACCAACGGTTCAAAAGAGATCGTTTCTTAAAAAAAAAACAAAAAAACTCGAAAATATAAATCTTCTGAAAGACTTTCCAAATCCTTAGAGGACTGTTTCGGACAATTAAAAGGTAAATAATCTATCAAAAATTGGAGTAAATATATCATTAATTATTGGATAACATTCTTTAGGCGAAGACAAGCGTAAATTACAAGGAATAATACCTAAAATGAGCTAAAAATCGGCGGCGTAAATCGAAGGTTTTTACAACGCATGGGCATTTACATCTCTACATTTATTTGTCCAAGTTTTCTCAAGCAAATCGTTACAGTTCTGCAGCTAGTTTGAATCAGTAGACAAGTTCATCGGTCCATTGGATGAGTGCATCCTCTAAAATACTGAAGAAGCTACCATGAAAATGATCCCTCACTGCTCAAAAGCGCTGACACGCAATGTTAGATCAACTCCTTTCTCCAAGTTTCTTGGACACAGACTTATACGTTGTGCAACACTGTTTATAAAAGAGGAAATTGTGTTTTTTTTTTTCTGGTAAGGGGCATCTAAGTAGAATTATATTTCGCCTGCACAGGCTTATTCATTGTGCAACACTGTTTATGAAGGAGGACATTCTGTTCATTTTTTTTCTGGTAAGGGGCATCTAAGAAGAATTTTGTTTCACGTACACAGATTGAAAATATCATATATTATTGTTGAGGAGCACTACCTTGCCAGCAAATAAGATAATCAATTGTCAAAAGACAGATGTTTATTGGTTTTGTTAAATTTTAATTTACCGTTCATCGTATATTGTCCTAAAACAATTGACATTTTTATCCCTTACATAGGAATCCTAGTTACTGGAAGATATTAATATAAATTGGATGCAGTCATACACTTAGAATCCATAAGTTAAACAAAACAGTGTCTGTGTTTTTTATCTTAACAGCTGGTAATATTTAATGTTCTTCAATTTTTTATGTTTTTTTTTCATATAAATTGCGCACTGAGTATTAATTTTTTGAAAATTAGATAATGATATCACATGCAACTACATGTATAATGAATGGTTGCTTAACCATCTTTCCGGGTGGTTCACTTGTAAAATAAAATATTTCAGCGTAAAAGGTATGTAAGCTTTAAAATATATCTCATTATTTTGGTTTTTATTGTTTTAAGTTTGGTATTATATGAACCGCTCTAATGTATTTTACAATTTGTGTTTGTCGATGACTCAGGAAAACCGTATAAGTACTTCTCTGTGTGGTTTTATATACGCTGCAGATTTTTGTATACACCTAAATGTATCAACTTCTCTTAAAAAACAAAAACAAACAAACAAACAAAAAAAAAAAAAAAAAAAAGAAACACTGACTATATCGTACACAGTACTGTTGTTAATTTTTTTGGACAGCATGCTAAAATAGAAACTCGACAATGATTTGTTTATGTCAATATCAAAACAATTTTTTTATGATATAAAGAAATAGATGCATGATTGTACGTGTATAAATTATACGTGTACGTATGAAAAATACGTGTATGGATTTGTAAAGATAAAATCATAGTGTAATATAGTTCACTAGATTGCCTATCTATAAAAGGCCATTTCATCAACATCTTTCAGATGAAGTTTCTGATTACTGCGTGGATTTTATCAATTATACTTGGTCCAAACACACTACGTTCTCTACAAGGTAGGTAAATTAAGTCTAATAGACCCACCTGTGTTGTTACATGTAATGTATATGGTATTAGCAATTAAAAGGACGATTAAATTAATACACAATAATTAAAATTTTTAAATTAAAATTATCACAACAGGATAGAGATCATATTATAACAATGATTATTTACAATTAAAAAAAAAATAAAAAAAAATAAATAAAGCACATTAAAAAAAGACAATGTTATAAACCAAGAGATCCAGCTCTTCCAATTATAACCAATAATTTTTTTACTATGTTTAATAAGTTGATTAAAGAAATGAATTTAATTTTTGAAGATTCATAGGGTTTTGAACTACGACGCTTCACGTCGGCATATTTCATGAAGCGCGTTTGCGCTTCATGATAAATATGCCGGTGTGAAGCGTTGTAGTTCATATACCTCATGAATCTTTAAAAAAATTAAATTCATTTCTTATATTCACATTATTTTTCTGATGACTTGCCATACATTTACGCCGTTCAACTGCCATTTTTAAAACAAAACAGTGTGCACTATATTTTTTGACTTTTTGACGTAACAATGGAGATATTCATGCTTATTCGTGATAGATACCTAATGTACGAGGATTGTCCCAAAATTTTGGAGACTGAGCTCATATCTTTTGAGGAAATTAATGTATCTTTATAAAATTTTCAGGGTGGATAAAGCATGTTCTTGGCAGATTACTTACGAAGTTTTATCATGTTTACTTGAAAACTTTCCGAGTAATGACATTTAAAGTAATATGCTTCTCTTACACCCGGAGCAATCTGCAACGTCAAAAAATACAAATGACAACGGTATAAATTTTTGGAGGAAATATCTCAATTACCAGAATCAATGTCTTAATATAAAGGAAACGGTTATAGTTATAAATATAAAATATCTTAATTACTATGATATGATCAAACATTAAAATATGTAAACAAAGTATATGCACGTACAAGTATAAAATAATAATGCTTTGAAAACACTATAGTTCTACGGGGTTTTCGTCTGTTTTCTCTAATGGATTTGGACAATGGAACTCTCGCCCATTTCTTAGCCCTGTCTTTTATTTTAGTTACTGTCATTCACATATACATAGAGAAACCGCTTTAGTCATTTTAAATATACGAAGGACGAAAAAAACTTTCCTAGTCTACCTAACATTTGTGACTGGTGTATTTTTGTAAGAGTAAATTCAGGATCAAAACACTTGATCATAGTCCAGTGCGCCGCCATTTTTCAAAAATTTGAATTTCAACCCCATTTATCTAAAACATTATAAAATTCGTATTTATCAAAGCACAAGCGCCAAAATTTGTGGAAATATAGTTAATAAAACAATATTAAGAATTTTTATTTTCATTAAAAATATATTGGGTAGTAATTACTTTTTCGTAGGATTTTAAATATAACATACCAATTTTTAATTGCAAATTTTAATTGCAACTTTTGGTTATTGCGCCGCCTTCCTACACCAGACAATGAAATGTGTCTTTTAAATTGGAATTATTCCATATTTGTACATAAATTTATTAGATAGTGTTTGTAAAATATATATACGAAGTTTCATTAATGTATGACACAGGGTTCCTACAAAACAATGCTTGTCTACGGAATTTTGGGACAACCCTCGTAGTTCATGAGAAAATATAGATTTTTCTTTGTACAGAATCACAGGGGAAATTTATTGGAAATGTAAATATTATTGCTTATAAAATCAAATAATTGTTCAAACGCAAACACATTAGAGATGGTATAATAATAATTGGACAAATATTTAAGTCTGGAATTCTTAATGCATCGGTGCATGTATTTAAATAAATAATGAAATTCATTTCCTATTCCCTTATAAGGAAAAATTTACAAATTCTATTTTCTCTTGCAATATTATATCATTTCCCCATCTCAATTGGAAGTTTAGCAATGTTTGTTCTAAAATTGCAAAATTTCATAGAAAGTAAGGTGAATTCAACAAAATTTGTCAAATGTTTTAATATATTTTTTTCCCATTCTTAAGAATCTATAACAGTTACTGAAATATTTTGATGAACTAAAGATGTCATTTCAGGACAATTGTTAAAATTGATATTAAAGAATAGTTTGCACCTTTTTCTTTAACCATGCAATATGGAGAATGCTGTGTTGGTATTAACACATACATGTACATAAGTGAGTCCTAAATCATGATCATATATTTCTAAGACATATAAAAATATTTTGATGACATTTTTACCTTATGATACCAGTCCTGCCCAGTAAAAAATCAAACGTAATTTGACATAAGAAGATAAGGGATATCTACCATACTTTCCAAACATATATACCATAAAAATATGGCGTGGAGGACTTCAGATTTAAAATATGCTTACAAAAATTTAGAAAAAAAACAAGAACGACTGAAATTTTATGTTTATGACATTGCTTTTGAAATCCGTTCTAGCTATTGAAAATTGAAGATTGGTGACATGTAACACAACAAAATTTCTTGTAAATTTTTTTTAATGTTATAACACCCCACCCCCACAACACCAAAAATATAATATTATTATTACTACTGAAGAATTATACTTTTAAGAATTAAAAAAAAATATGCAAAAAACGTTAGCATTTTGGAAATACCTTGAAGTTCATTTTTTTCCCCTGTGAAATAAAAAAGCAAAGGTACGCTGTTTCCACAGATTTCCTTCATTTAATTTCGCTATAGCATGACGCAATGAGGTTTGTTTAATGAAATGTTATTGATAGAAATTCTGACACTTTCATAGAAATCAGAACGGACTCAGGAATTGAAAAAAATACTTAAAATAAGAGAGAATTTTTTTAATAATGTTTAATTAAATTAATTCAATTTTAAATGTACAATTTATCAAATATTTTTTACTTCCTGCTAATATGCTATCTATGACTTATTTTTACGCAGTGTATGAACAATTCTCAGGTTTTGTCAACGATTAAGAAAACATCAATTAACACTGAAAGTTAGTTCTTTGAAAAGATCGCTATGAACACTTTACGTATATGTGGTTAATAATTTAGGCTGGTAAAATTTCTATCTTCTAGATAGGGATGCAAAGTGTAGATACAGTGTCCATCTTCCAAAGGCTTCATGGCATAGAGCATATAATGTGTGTGCTTCAAGTAACAAGACACTGGTGACACTGACATCACTTACTGAGATGTACTACATACAACTAGTTCTGGAAGAAGTTGATGAATTGCTCGGAAATTATTCCAGTTTTAAGTATCTTGCTTCATAAGAAAAAGATATTTCAAAATTACTAAAAGTTAAATTAAGCAAAATTCTTCTTCATCAAATAAAACAGTATTGAAATAACATATGATTCTAGTATGAAGTTTTTTTAAGCTACTCAGAAGGCCTATGGGTTGGTGCTTTTTTGAGGTCTTCTAATAATGAGATTATGCTAGAAAATTGTGATCATCTTGATTCCGATATTCCGGTAAATATAACTGGTATAAGCCCCGATGGTATGTTTTGTCTTTACTACAATCCAGTCGAGCAGAAGCTTGTCACCGAAAACTGTACTTCAGCAAAAATGTTTATATGCGAAAAGGATGATGAAGGTAAATTGTAAATTATTAGATTTACAATATATAAATATGATTAATAATTTCTTCATCAAATGCTGAGCGACGTTTCTCATACTTATTGTAAGATCAATCAATACATACTGAATTATATATAGACGGATTTTCCCGTATCATCCCAATCATAAGAGAGAGGACATAGCAGATGTAACCGTTCGGCAGGGGATGCTTACTTCTCCATGACACCTGACCTCGGGCCCCAAGACCATAAACTAAGAACGGACTGAAGTCAAAATTTCAAATCGATATAACTTTCAAAATAATTTTGATAATAAAGTAAAATTTTCATCATATGGTTGAATTCAATTGTCTTGCACAATTACAACTTTTTAAGTCTATACATTGAATGTAATTGAGGATATTAAAAATCAAAATTTTGACTTGAGTCTGTTCTCAGTTTATGGTCTTAGGACCTGAGGATTTAAAAGTCCATGCTTGCTTTGCTCCAAATTTGCATTGTTCAATGGACTTTTGAAAAAATTCCATTAGATCCATGTGTCTCATTAAATGGTTTATGTTAATCAAGTTTCACCACTGGAGACCATAGAAACTGACTGTGTCTCATCTATTTCAATGATTTTTGAATGCGAAATTTGAATTAGATTAAAATTAAATACATAGGAATAAGGTGCGTATTTGAACTCCTAAATGACTAATTTCACTTTCAAAACGTTTAACCCTCTTTCTTCTGTCCTGAAGGGTCGACATTAAGTCTAGAAAACTGAAGGGAGGAAGCAGGTTTGAGCCCAAAGTGTTCTGCATAATTAACTTTTTTTTCCATTTATCTGTCTATCTATTTATGGTACATGCATATATTTCATTTTAGATTTTGAAGAATGCATGATCAATTCATCATTATCAGCATTGCGATTTCAAAGTCAATTGTGCTCTGATGAGGAGAAAAAAAATTTAAGTCTAAAAGGTTGTGAAGAAATGTGTTTAGAGAATACAAGATGTTACACATTTACACACCAAGATAAAGATAAAGAATGTAAGCTGTACAAGTATGATGATAAGAAATCTTGTTCCCCAAGAAATCCTCTGCCATTTTGCAGATACAAAAGTAAGCAGTACAGCACGACGATATCTTTCCTTTATAATTTATGACACTTTCGTTGCCACCGAAGTAACTAATATTTTGTTTTATTATCATTATTTTTTTGACTTTGTCATCACCGGTGGTTAATGTTTGAGGGTTTTTTTTCCATATGGACAAATTTTATTATTGAAATGACAATTCAGTTAGATATCTGAACGTCTTCACCAATTATTGAGCATTACTTATAACTTAAACTTTTGAAGTGGCTTAATTGCTTTCTAAATTACGGTATTATTTATTAGATTAGTTTTCTTTCTTTTTAAACAAACCTTTATCATTCCGTGATTTTAGGTATTTTTCTAAACAGCAGTGAGGGGTACGCCACATCAGAGGACTTTCCGCTTGATCAATGGTGTCCAGGTACGTGTTGATTAATTGTAATTAAAAAATTCAGGTAACTTTCGTTCTATCGAAGTTCAAGGGACCGCAAGAGAAGTTTGAGAGATCGAGGCACTCGAGAAATGGATAGTAAACAATATCCGGAAATTTCAGTCTCAATCATTCATTCATATTTTAACTTTTTACAATGATCGCATTTGGAATATGAAACGGTTTCTCTCAGTTTCAATATTTATTTGTTCTAATTTCATGATTACATGAAACCAGAGTAGTTACACATGTATTATCTATGAAGTTTCTCTCGGGCTTGATGTGGTCTTTCAGCAGATTTCTCTCATTAAATCGGTATTCATTTTTTGAGATAGGATTTCTGTGCAATGTTTGCTGTAAGCTCGTGCATTTGTACAGCCAACTTGTGCCAATAGTCACCAATATAAGTTCAGTAACCATATGATATTGACATTGATGGTCACGAGCAGGTCAATACAACGTAGAATTTTTTTTAACATTGGGTACATTGTTGGATCTCAATCAAACAGAGAGAGGAAAATTATTTCATAAAAGAATCATATACAGTGCAAATTTGTGTATATTAAGAAATTGAGTAAATATAAGTTGTATGTAAGTATAATAGAAATAGTACTGCCTTGTATCCTGACTTTTTAAAGGGGGGATCTTCAATCATTTTATTCCCTCTTCCCAAATGTTTAATTGTATATCTGGATCCAATTTTCAAAAGAGATATTTTTCAAATAACTTTATGTCTTTATTAAACATTAAAAAGTAAATCCAAAGCAAGTATAATTTATTCGAATGCACAAAAAATGTGCAAATAATCCCGAATTTAATGGTCCTCTTTGTTTGACATCGATGTAAATTCGATGTATTCAGATACAATGAGGAATGCTTTAATTATTTATCTTGTTGACAAAGGTCAATAATCTGAACCATCACCAAGAAATAAGTTAATATGCTTTTGAGTGAAATTTGTTTGATAAACAAAAGGGAAATCACAAAGATCCAATAATTTTTGAGTCTCGGCAAATGCTTGTCATTAGAAGCGTTTCATAAGTTTTATTTTTATATGTAAGACGCACGTCTAATGTTATTTAAACTGCTTTCTTGTTTGTTGACAGAAGTGACTCGGAAAGTGATTCAAGAGAAGATCGCTAATATGCAGAAAAATCTGACTATCAATCGAAAAGAAACGAATCAGTACATCCGCACTTTGACAAGTGCCCCAGATGAGAGGACCTCTTCAAAGAATATCGGAGTCCTTGGGGCTTTTGTAATAGGTGCAGTGGGCAGCATATTTATCCTCTCCGACTGCATAAATCTTATCAAATGGATACAAAATAATCGTGTACGCGCCAGAAATTTTTGACTTTTTTAAGGAAAACTGGATGTAGAGCTGCACTATATGCCCTTGTGACTTTCCTGTGTCATTTACAGATACATATAAAAAGACAAGATCATTTTAACCGATATATATTGCTGACAATCTTTGGATTGCATTGTCTGCTTACGATATATGTAACAAGATGGTATTTTAATATATGTACAAGTCATATTACAATGTAAACATCTATACATTTTTATTTCTTATATTTGAATTGTGCCTTTAGTTTTAATCTTCAAATTTTTAAAACAGAGTTTTCTGTTTGAATGCTTGAAATATATGAATTCACAAAATCAAAGAAAATAATTAAACATGTTAACAAACTTCATTAAGCCATTATTATTCAAATTATGCACACTTACGTGAAGGTATAATACACAAGAGATTGAAAAAAGAAATGTATTAAGATCCTCCTCTACTACCTGAGCAAACTTCCATTAGATGCATGTTTGTTGCTGTCATTTTTCGCATATAGGTGAATATTTTTTTTAATAGTTAATTGAATAATCATTCAAAATGAATTTTATTAAATAAATCAGATCTTCAGAGACAGCCAGAGGTTTAAAAAGTGCATTATGATTTTTTTCCTTTCATTTATGCAAAACTATCTTTATTTGATCTATATTTTCCATATATTAAAGATACTAGTAGTTAAAGGGTTATCATGAATAAATATTTACATTATTTTAGTTTTATTTGTAGTCTAATTTCTGATTGGTTAAAATCCAAAAGAAACTAAAATCCGTATTCCTTGGTTTGGTATAAGATAATCCCTCCCCTAAATACAAACTGAATCATCTTTATCTATTCAATCCTCTCATTGCCAGTTCACAGAATTCTTGAACATTTCCAGATTTAATATTTACATCCCTACTTTCAAACAATAAATCGAACTTATCATGTTTTAACAATTAACATGGATTCTACGCTATCTATATCTGATTATAGATCCTTTCAATTCCCATCATTTCTGTTTTTTACAGCTGTAAAGTGAACAGGATTTCTGAAACTATTCATAATCTACACCAAGATGTGTTTAATGACTCTAAAATTAAAATATAGGGAATGACTTCAATTCTTTGCCAAATCATTATACATGTAGTACAACACGGTTTAGTTGCGTTAAAGCTGTTTGATTATCCGTTTTGCGGATAATAAAGAGTATAGAATGATCCAAACTAGGTTACTAGTGTACCATAATAATTTTGTCAAAGAAGATTTGTTCTTAAAGCAATCAAAGATTTTTGCAAAGCAAAAGAATTTTGAGAAAATTCAGTATGTACACGAATTATTCTCCTTAAATACATCAAGCATTCGACAATGTTATATTTGGCAAAATACATAATTCTGACAAAATTAAGCAAAACTGTTTTTGTTCCAATTTTAAATATTACCATCAGGAAGAAACAATGGTTATTTTATTCATATTAGACACAATATATACATGTACCACTAAGCTTTTAATTAAAGATACTTTCAACTGTTTAAATAATGCCACATTGGGAGTAGGATGGAGGTCTTAAAGGGGATTAAAGTTTTTCAACAGGAATATTATTGATTAAATATGCCAGCAGGGGCACTGCAACTCAATAACTAACTCTGCAGAGTTGCAATGATGATGATAAACGACTGCACTGTATATCAGAGAATATTCTTGCAAATCAACAAAAGGATAGTGGGTAAGAAAATAACGTGAACTTTAATTCAAAGATTTTTTTTTCTAAGGAAGAAAACAATAAGCGGCATTCTTTAGAATACTGAAGAATATAAATATGGCATAATAATGTAATACCATACTTTTGTTTAAAACTGCATTAAGGAAATTGGACTTACAGCATGCTTCATTTTAAATTAAGATTATATCATATGCAATAACACATCTTATGAAATTTATTCACTTTTATACACAATGTTTATTTTAAATATGTTTCAAATCATTTGAAGTCAAAAGAAATATTTTTTGCAAGCTTGCTTTCTAAATGATTTATCTGTCGTGCAAAATATTAGTCCCTGACGTTCGGGCATGGAATATATAGAGATAACGAACAATATTCTAGCTCAGAAAACCCACGAAACAATGCGAAATAGGAGCAGAGCAAACACGGACCCCCGAAACATCATAGTTAGGATCAGGTGACTTGGAGGTGCCATATTGCTCTCCTGAAATAAAGCAATCTGGGTTTTTTTGTATTAACGAGGCCCGATCTACTTGAACTGCGCATACGTTTTAACGCAGCGTCGACTCAGGCACGTCATAGTACCCTTGACTGCCGTCACAATTGAACACAATAACGTCATAATTAAAATGACGTCAAATTGCGCTAAAATGCTTCACTGATCTTGCATACCTGGCAGCTCTATAGAATGTACATGTTGAAAGCTGGTATTTCTATTATTTAGATGTTTTTTAAAGATTTTTTTTAATTAATAAACAACTTTGGATCATGATTTATTTTGAGGTATCAATTTCTTGGTACATATACATTAATTTTACCTTGTTTTATTTCAATTTGTGAGTTAAAAAAAAACAAACACTACAACCAAAAGTAAACGATTTTAGTCTTTCTCCTTGAACGTGTTGAATTGTTTATACACACCCTTTTTTACTGAGGACTTAAGTATGCATGGATTAGTTTGAGTTAAAATAAATCAGTCTATGAATCATTTAAATACAACCCCCGATATATATTTTTTTTATATGTATACATGTATTATATGATATTACGTCATTTGTCGCCTTTACCCCCCTCCCCCCACCCCCTTTTTTCCCACGTATAACAACGTCGCATGTTAAGAAAAAAAAAGCATGGAGAGGAAATTATTTTAGAATGTATTAAAGTTTATTTATTTTTTAGAAACTAATATAGTATTGCAATTGTTTGTTGATGTTATGTAAACCCATGGCGACTTATTTCATATCTAGTTGGATAAAACACACCCCAATTTTGCGTTTTGATATGCCCCCTTTTCACTGCAATAAAGGCTACCTCCAATTTTCTTTTCATTTTTTATAAGAAGAATAAAAATTGCATGATATATGTGAAAAACAAAACATTTCATCATGTATTTTTTTTAAATTTTCAATTTCTTTGTTTTTTGGAGAGTTTTACTATGTAATTGTGTATAAAAACACGAAAAATGGTCCATATCTTGACAGTGCCCCCATTTGACTACAATAGAGGCAATGTAACAAAATTTCGTTCTTATTTTTCTTAGCATAATACATACAAAAATATTTCCAAAAATTAAAATTTTTTATCATTCCGTTTTCGTAATTTTCAACTAGATCGGGCCTCGTTAAAGTGTCTCCTTACAGAACACTGCAAAGTATAACAAATACAAGGGAGAGCAAGGCCGTTTGTGCTGTATTTCGACATTCTCCGTTATCTGGTGATATCGAGTGACCAGCAGGGCTGGGAGTAAGGCTCGGGTACAAGAGAGGACCTTGGTATATATTTCTTCTATGGCAATCAATCAAACTAAAAGTTTTACTAAAACAGAGTTGGACATCCCACAACCATAAGGGCTGAAAACAAACAAAATAGCATGAAAAAAACTACGCAGCACAGTTAAGGTTACAAAAAGGAGGCGGAGCCTAATTTGTACGGGAAAACTTGACTATGACATCATACACAATATACGTCATACAGCATTTCTTTAAAATACCACAAAATGAGTTTATCTTCTAATTTAACCATTAAGAAATCATCAAGGAACATAAAAACTTACAACAGCGTGTTGTTTTGTCGTTAGTTAAATCCCACATAGCAATTTATTAACAAGTCACTGATCGCAATACACTTGTCAATATGACGTCATTTCTTACAACGTGACGTAGTTTGTATGCAGTGGGAGACATATCAAGTAATATTTTCTCAACAAAATATGTATTTTATAATTAAATAAAATATTATTTACGATATTCTATGGGCCAATAACTAGAATTTAATGTCTTCTTCACTGTTTTATTAATATATTTTCTGTACATTACGTATTTAATTGACACTGTGGTATATTTGTATGCAAGTACATCGGAGGGTAATGTGGGGGGTCTTAATAAATCGATCTAGTGCAAGGGCATACTCTCTATGGATCAAAGTAAGCTTTTACATTTTAACTTTAGAACTATTAAGGTATCTAAAAAGTGCTGCGATCCTGATGAAATCGTAAAAACAATTGAATTATATCAATATTTCATGCCGCTGACCAGCAAAAAATATAGCATTCTGTCATACAAGTATAATTTTAACGAAAAAATTGCAGAATTTAAACAGGATCGCAGCACTTTTTAGAAACTACAATACGTGTTGAAAATATTTATGTACTAAACTTGGTAATTTAACTTGGTTATGCCCTTGCACTAGTGATATTTATATGTAACATCAATACTTAAAGTCAATGTGCTAAAATCGCGTGACTGTCGCATCACGTGACTAGTCTAAATATAAAATATAATCGTCCTCGATATGTAGTTACTAATCATAATTACAATTATCCGATATAAACAATGTACTAAAAATAATCGCCATCCCGATTACGAATACATTTTTAAATACAAAATGTACTGGGTATTTCCATTGCGCACCTTAACTGTACTGCGTAAAGGAATAAGTATTCATATAATTCATTTTCAATATTAAATTATATAAATATGCACAAAAGTAATGCAGAAACAAATTTTTGGGAACAAAAACATAAAACTATATTCTTGTAATTCAGTAGTAGATTGAATCCTCAAGTTGATGCAAATATATTTTTATCAATGGATTACCTTTCGTCCTACATCTTTAAGAAGAATATAAGGTCGATGCTTTGTTTCTATTCTGAAACTATCTTCTATTTCTGGAATCTGAGTAAAGAGCAAAAAAACAAAATACGTTTTCTTATTATTTTATTGAACTTGGTTTGACTTCGAAAATATACTCATAAAAGGTTTTTCGACATACAGAATTGAATGGTTATCTTCTGAATCATAATTAAAACCTACCAGGATATTGTTGCCTTCCATAATTTGTCTCTTCTTCAAGATTCTGATATGAATTTTAAAAATAAAAATATCAATAAAAATATTAATGCCTTTTCTTTTGAACTGAAACCGACAAAAAAAAATAATAAAATAGGAATGCCTTAGGTGGAACTCACGCTGAAATATTATAGAGAAGAGCCAATTCAGTGGCCTTGCTAAAATAGTGCGCCACTGTCCTTGTGTCTTCAACATCAGCACATGTGCCATGTTTTTGCCATTGGTACGACCTATTTATATGACGTATATGCTTAAAGAATCGTTATTGGTAATAAAAGGGATATAGACGAAAAAGAAAATAAGGAAAGAGAAAGAGAACAAAAAGAGATACAGAAGAAAGTGAAAGGCAGTGGTGAGGAAAAGAGAGTAGAGGAGAAAGAAAATAGAGGCGAGAGAGGAGAGAATTTCAAAGCAGACACTTGAAAACACTTCGATAATATCAATCACGGATAAAAATATATGAAGTGAATGACGAATAACCTTCTGCAGTTTTAAATGTCAAATGTACAGGGATTAAAGTGCCATTTTTTTTCAATTACTTACAAAGTAACTCATGTTCAACGTAAGTTTTCGAAGCTTCGACATTTACAGAAATATTTCATCCAATTCATCCAATTATTGAAATAAGTTAAAGATAAATTCACCGAAAAGAAACCATTCTGCTCAAAACTGTCACTTAATTAGATCTGTTCTTCCAGATATATTCAAGATTGAAAAAAAGTATGCTAATATCTTCCAGTTCACTTGCCGAAGGACGTTAAGATGGCAATTTATTTGGATGCACGAATACTCCTCCAGGCATCAAACGAGATTTTATTTAATTATAGAAAGGATATCCGATCACCAGCCATATTCCCCTTACAAATACAGATTAAGGATTGTTGAAAATAAATATCTATTTCATAACGTGTGAAAGTATTATATTACGTTAAATTAAGTAACTTGTCATTGATTTCATCGTTTTGATTTTTGATTATTTTTACTTTCAGTTACCTTCTGATTTTTGCAAAATTTAACTGGCCATTGAAAGGATAGAACGAAGTGATCAAATTCCACTGCTGTTAAGTAAGTCGTATGGCTGTAAACAGCAATACAATCAATCAAAAAGAGTGAAAAAGATAGATAGATAAAGGGAGTGAGAATGCAAAAGATATAGAGAGTACATAACAGTCGAAAGTTTAAAAAATATTCAACTTTTAAACATAAAAAAATGAAATGAATAAGCATAGAATCTGATGAATAAAAATCATCCATACTCACCAGCTTAATATCAGAATTCCGAATATCATATACACACAGGAAGAAACCATGATTGAGTTTTCGTGAAAAGAACCTCTAAAAACAATTAAATCTTAAATTACCTTATAAACTAACATTCGTATGTTTCTTATCTAAAACACAATTAAGGGGGCTGGCGGGATGTGGCCATTTTTAGACCATGTTTATCTCCTATAGAAGAAGAGTTCCATATGAAGATATAAGAAATGATCAAATTTTATAACTAACATTTTTGAAATTTTTCTTAGCCAAATGATAGTTGACAGCTTAAGATATCATATCTAAAAAACTACGTTAGTCTGGTGGTTAATTTGTGTTTTATTTGTAAACCACCCAGCCTCCTTAATATAAACTTATGAGTAAGACGTATCAGAAACACAGATTACCAGAAGAATCGGGAAATAACGTACAGTATTCAATATCAAAGTCCAAAACACAATACAAAATAGGGGCAGAGCAAACACGGACCCCCGAAACATCACAAGTGGGATCATGTACCATGGAGGAGTGAGCATCCAATGCTGAATGGTCTCATCCGCAATGTGTTCCTTGTCATAATCGGGAAATAACGGAAAAATCCCTTGTCATTTCAGTGCATAAATAATGGACAACCAATTGGTATGAGAAACGTCAGTCAGCATTTGACAATGATAAATTGTATTTGCTGACAAGTTCATTGTATCGACCATAAAGCTTACGAAATAATGACTTTAAACGAGACTGTTGATATTCTTGTTTTATCAACTTGCTTGTCAATACATTCATTCATTTTAGAGACTGCTCTTGCGTATCGAATCAACTGATATATTTACATTCCGTATGCAGGAGATGAAGGTATATCGTTGCATTATTAAGGGAAGTTATAGATAAGTGAAAGTCATCACGTTTATCATATAGCTTAGTTGTTAGATTAACATTGTTGTTTTTATTAAGAAAAATATCTCAGTATGAAACAAATGAAAAAGACAATTAATGTAAAAGGAAGTGGAAAAACGTCCATTTCAGAAGTGAATGTTAAAGTAATCATTCGACTGATCGTAATAAATCTCTCTCCATACAAAAAAAGTTTTACACAGTCCGTTATCACAGCTTTCCAGTATATGTAGATGACCATGGCATACCACACATTCTAGAAAGCGTTTCTTATATTTCAATTTAATTGTGAAATGAACATAATGAAAATGTAATAAAATTTAATTTCCAAAAATAATACTGTCTTCTTAGATTCAAAAGGCACGAAATCCCATGTAAATTTCAATAATGTTTGAAGAATTAATACAGAAAATCAATTTTCGACCATCATGCAAATTATCCTATGTTTCCAGCTCGTGGTGATTTCATGATTAATCTGTTACGTGGTTCCTCGGACAATGATATCTATATAAAGTGGATGCTTTTTTCACACTTGCGTTCCCAACACATTTTCTATTTATGATTAATAGTCTGCACTCTAACTACTACTTAAGGACACACCTGTTAAGCATACATCTGTTTATACTTGTATAGTAAACAGTTGTCTTTATGAGGTCATTTTATTTTGTGTATATTAACATATCCTAATGACATAATTCAATAAACACTGAATATGTGTCAAAACGTAAATCATCAAAAAACCATCAGTGTCAATTTGATTTTCCATTTCTTTTTATAACCTTTTGAAGACAATCTTAAAATTAGAGATAAAAACCCCGTATTACCTAAAATGATGCAGGAAATGTAACTTACTAGTTCAGGTTCAGGTCTCTAGAAAACAGAATCTTTATCGTCAGCTACTAGGAAGTCGTCGTTTGAATCTTATCTGATAACAAGGCTATTGCCATGGTATTTACCCTGACGTAGTGGATTTCAGAAAACGATAGAAACAGATCTATCATGATATTAATACAACGATTAAATTATTGACTCGCCTGACAAGTAAGTCTAAGATTAAATGTTTACAACTCCCTTGTAATCTTTTATCTTGAAAGTTTTTCATTGATTTTTCAAATAACTTTGTTTGAATGTCAGATTACATTCTGCTTTATAAATTCAATAGAACGGTGAAGATTTGAACAAAATAATATGATGATGCTCAGTGTAATATACAAAAAATTTCAATATTTCTTTCTTTTTGTTAATTTAAATATTTATGAAATCCTAAAGCTCGAGATCAATTTGGTCTATTTTCTGCACGATTTTCATTTCTTAATAATCAGAAACAATCTGACAATTTTTCACTAGCAATTCTAGTACCTCACCGACTAATTCAATCTCATTCCATTTTAAAGTTGAAAATACTATATATCCATCAAAACCACCAGTGAAGTAGAGCAAAAAAGATAACATATTGTATAACCTATCAAAGTAAACTCATGCAAATACCAATTTGCATTTCCAAAAAATAAAATAAAATGAAAAGGGGCGTTATTGCATTCAGATAATTAAGATCCACTCATATATCAAAAGTAATCAAAAGCTATTGTGAGCATTGAACGTTACACATGTATTTAATATCCAGGTCTAATCTGTTTGTTTTCCTCTGCTAGCCCCGGACTATGTGCCAGGCCGATAAGTTTAATAACTGATGTTCAAAGGCATGTGATAAGGCATATGTGAAAGTATTTCTGAATTTTATCCATTGGTATAGGAATAGTTGCAGATTAGAGTAGGGTACAGCTGTACCCTAAACCATAACAGACGAACGGATATTCCGATCACTATATACCTTTCAACGTTTGGGTAACTAATGAGTAAATTTTACTTAAATTGCTTTTTGTTCATATTTTCAAGAACACCGGAATTGCGAAATCTAGTAAAATTCATACAACAAAAATTACAAATGATAAACTTCATTCACTTTGATAAAGGAGACTTACGAAAAGTCAACCCGCCTATTTATCTTCCTTTTTTAGCTGTTTATAAGCAAATAGTTCGGATAGAGCGCTATGCAATTATAAGACTCAACAGGTTTTTGAAGACTTTTACGTACGTTGATACTTGGTCTTTTTACACGTATATTTTTATAGTAGTCCATATCTCTTTAAAACTCTTATGTTATTTAAGGAATGAAGCTTATTTCAACTTATGTTATCCGATATAACATAACTTGGGGCAGTTTACGCTTTATAAACCGCGAAGCGGTTTATAAGAAAGCGTAAACTGCCCCAAGTTTTGTTATATCGGATAACATAAGTTAAAATTAGCTTCATTCCTTATGATTTAATTTTAGTGCAGACAATAAGACAATATTTCCTCCGGGAAAAGGCTTCAAACTGAGCAATATTTTAAAAGTAACGTCAAGCGGAGTAATACGTTTTTGACGTAACTCATTGTGACGTAGGCAAGTTATGTTATACAAAATGTTATATGTTCCTCTGAATGATTCAGCCAATGAAATTGCTTGATACAAGTGAAATTATATTATTGTAATATGAATATGAACGATAAGAAATGTGGTTTTTTCTTCATTTTAAAAAAAATTAAAATAATATTTCAGCGGAGTGTCAGTCACTATTTGAGGCAATCCTATTTTTATAAGTGAGTTTACAACCATAGTATCTCTATTGTGTTGTTTTTTGTCTATTTTCCCGTGTAGCTTAAGGGGGCATGAAGGATGTATGGTCACAAGACTAGATTTAATTACGTCATAGTCCCTGGAAAATACGTTTTAAACAAGACTGAAACCACAGTACTTGTATAATTGTTTTACTGTTTGTTTGAGTTCACCACTTTGTATAAAAATATCTAAAAAGATTCAAACTTTCTAGCAAACATTATCAAATTACAGAATAGATTGATCCACACTTCTGTTTCCCTACACGGCACGTCCAACGAGTCGTTGACGTCACAGTGGATTTCTTAGTACAGAAATATTATACACAGTAAAATATGGGTAGTATAATATCATAAAAACGGGTCATGATCAGTATATGATAGGATATTTTGTAAATTAGGGAACACAATTTTTTTACGTGGTTCTTGACGGAAATATTTTGTAGGCATGTCTTATTTCGCTTATTTTGTAAATAAGTGACATCACAGTTGGGATTTCCCGTACTCGAGAAACGTGAACATGAGACTTTTTTTTCTCAAGCTCATGTCTTCTTTAACTATGCCCTGTGGAATATTCAGCTTAGCTTCAACAATTGATATTTCTACAGTTAATAAATAACATGACGATCTTGCATTTTAACGTAAAATTTTTGATAGTGAACGGTAGGATTTTTTGCAAATAATTGTTTTTATTTTTTTAGTTGTCTTTTAAAGTACGTTATTTTCCGTCTCCAGATGCGGTGTGACAAAAGAATATTTCTTTTTCGAATTTTTAACCCTATTTCGCTCAAAAAAAAATTTAAAAGACACAGGTCCTCAGACATATTTTTTAGCTGTGCTGAAAAAAACTATTATGGACCGATTTATGGGCCCATAACCATTGAGAATCAAAACTCCACTTAGACACTGTAGGGTGTAGTATTTGTCAGTCAATATCTCAAAAATAAGTCTAGAAATCTATTGATAAATCTGCTTTAAGGTATGTGGGACAAACTAAATAAAAGATATACAAAAAATGAAAAAAAAAATAACGACAGGTATTTTTTCAGCTAAAAGTCCTTCTTCCCTTTAAATATGAAGGTAAATTAAAAATTCAAAGAGTCAATGAAGGTTGTACATTCCACATGCAACGTAGCCATTTAAACTAATCCAGTTTCGTCTGTTTTAACGCTAGTTATTTTGAAGCAACAAGTGTTAGGATCAAAACGTTTGCGAAATATCTCTCTATATATACAATACTGCAATTTATATCAGAATAAAATATCGAAAAAATAGCGAAACAATTGTTATACAAACAGATATGTACTGTTTTGATTCGTGTATCTGACGTCACAATGGTTACATGGCGCTAATATATATACATGCCTTATGAAAGAATTAGTGGTTGGTTCAGTCATGCTTGAGCACAAGAAGCTAAGCACATTATATATCTAAGAAATTCTTCTGTGGTGTCATATAAGAATTTGTAAAAGGTTTTTGAAGACAAGGGAATCGTCAGAATTTAATTATTGTTTGGAATGACTGTCTAAGTGAAGGAAGGGAAATGAGTATATTGAGACCAAACTAGAGAACTGTGGACTACGTTGAGCAATTTGTTGTCAAAGATCTCCAAGACTCGGAAAGAAAAAAGTTGAAAATGCTTAAATCTTTGAATAACTAAAATATCTTATTTTAAACTTAAAATATATACACTTGTATGACCTTTTTCAAGAAAGTGCGTATACTATATCTCCATTCAATAAATAAAGGTCTAAAGTCATATGATTTAGGTTGTGAAGGCCACCATGCTCAATCTGTTAAGAACCATCCTTATTTCAAAATTTGGCCATTGTGACAAAAGGATTGCTCTTATGTAAAAATTATAACTTCCTTGGTAAGAAATATGACTGATTTTTTTTTTTTTTTTGTGAATTGTGAAACGCTATGGAGCACATCAAGTGATTGCACGGATCACTGATTTGCATATTTGCGGATTGGCAGATGTGCATCAAAATCCCAGAGAACTGCATTGAAAAACGACGAACACTCAAACAATACTTTGATTATCCCTAGTATAAGCTTTAAATTTATACTTTCATCTTTCAAAAACATGTAAAAGGACATTTGTCTGGATTAGGCAGTCTAAACAGAAATCCCGAATTGCATTAATTTTAGCAAACAAACATTACTTGCATTTCTTTTTAATTCACTGTATTTTTGATTTGAATGCATCTTTTGTTTGCGCTTTTATGTGTTTATCATTTCATACTGCTACATTTACTTTATCTCAAATTTGATCTTAAACGGTATTTTCTTAATGAAATTAAAAAAAAAATGCAGAAGTAATTCTTCATGGAACGTTAACTTTATTTTGTTAAACGATTTATAATTCCTTAACAACTTATGTCCTCCAAATGTGGGCCAAACAGAATGGGCATCTGACCCAAAACTGGATGTTCTCACCCACACTTTCTCTCCCTTTTGTAATTCTATCCTTGCAGTGGCAGTACCCGACTTTTCAAAGCTATGCCTTTTGGTTATCACCAAACCAAACTTGACGGTGTGGTGTTTAGGGATACCCACTTGTCTTGTATTAGCTCTGGCTTGAAAGGCTACTATCTCCTTTTCTGTAAATAAATGATGGAATGATTGATTAACATTAATTAAATATAATTTAAAAAAGAATGACTAGTATGGATTCTCTAAGGTTTAGTTTTTATTTTTGTCAGATTTTTAAAAAAAAAAAGATAGATGAATAAAACATTTTACCCGTGTATCGATATCCTGCTAGTGAGAATGCGTCTTTACAAAGCTGAGCCCAGTGGGAGACGGACCCTGATGGACAACATGTAAGGACCAAACTATCAAAACTATCTTCATGGTTTGGGTAACTGCCATTTATAGAACTTCAATGAGTTATAGAAAAAAAGTATACAATATTATACGAAGGATATGGAGATAACGAACAACATTCAATATCAAAGACCATAAAAATACAAAATAGGAGCAGACCTAACAAGGACCTCAGAAACACCAGAGGTGCCGTGAGCTCCTTGTCATGATCTTGAAATAACGGAGAAATCCGTCATCAATTCAGTGTATACATAATGGACTAACAATTAGAATAAAAAATGTCAGTCAGCATTTGACGTAATGATAAATTGTATTTGCTGACAAGATGATTGTATCGACCATAGAGCTTACGAAATGATGACTTTAAACGAGACTGCTGATAGTCTTGTTTCATCAACTTCCTTGTCAATAATTTACCTCGTTTCAGAAATTGTTCATACGTAGAGCATGCTCTTGCATATTGAATCAACAGAGATATATACACTCCGTATGCAGGTGATGGAGATATATTGCTGCATAAGTAAGGAAAGGTGACGATAGAAAAGTTAAAGCCGTCACGTTTATCACATAGCTTGGTTGTTAGGTTACCATTAACGTCTTTTTTAATTTAAATATCCAAGTATAAGACAGATATGTCCGACTCTGTGGTATATTTTTGTCAAGCTCTCATGGATATATCGTATCGCTCTTGGAATGGAAGTTACCATTCTTAATTGACAGTACGTCGTCAATATATCTAAAAGTCGAGTTAAAGGCCTTAACGAAACAAAAACAACGTAAACATTTTGTTCTTTTTCTCATATATTTCTCTTTTTATTCACCACCTTATTGTGTTTTTTTTTTATTTTTTGATTATTTCAAGAAATTCGCGCCTTGTAAATTTACAATGCTTACAAACTGTATGTTTTTTTTCAATCCATAATTATATAAGTTCATGATGTGGTAAGTCATTACTCACCTACTTTTGATGCGTCCTGCCTGTGTTTCAATTAGTCCCCGAAATCTATCTTCCTAGAAACATCACAGATTTATAGGAATATGGTATGGATTATGTGCAGTGTAGAAGCTCATTAAAAAGAAAACCGATACTGTGGAATCACCAATGTCCGTGTTGTACCGATGTTCTTGGATTTCGTGAGTCACCGTTATCTACGAATTTACATCCACAAAGCATTTTTGTCTACATATTTATTTTATTTTTAATTTCATGAATAATTGTGTTACCAATACAATTATGTCCCCATAACCAAAAAAAAATGTTTATCCATGAACATTGATTCCTACGAATTAAAATGATTTTACGGTACAATGAGCACGTACAATGGAATAAAATGCGCATAATATAGTATTCTAATTAATTGCTTTATATACAATGTAGGCTTTTTTATCCATTCTAAATCAATAGTATAAAACTTATAGTTACTGATATCTGCATCTATTTAACTCACAGATCATTTTGCTAAATGTACATTTTGTTGGTTTTTAGTAACTATACTGAAATATTTGAAAGGTAATTGAAACACATCCTACTAATTTTAGTGATAAAATTTTATACGAATTATTACCGGATACTTCGTGACAGAACAGTTGCTTCCAATATTTACGTCTTAGATTTTAGGCTGCGCGAAAAGAGAATTAGAGCAGGTTTAAAAGGTTAAGAAGGATCAGAAGGCAAACATCCTACCACTAGGCAACATGGCCAGACCGCGTTGCCGTCAACGCCCTCCCCGTCTTCTCGCCATTCGCCCGAGCAGACGTTTGAGAAGCTCTACGATAAGGAATTGACTGGCTTATTTTGTTTAGAAGTGATGAGTAAAACCCAGATCTAAGCATGTCTATGAGGATATCTATTATATTCTGTCATTCTAGTATCGTTTCAATTTTATATTCATCACTATAGGGACCAGATCCAGATTCAGCAATTATTGTTGTATTCCCTGTTGTAATTTTTACTTTTGTGTTTATTATGAGATCCAGAGGGCTGATTGCTTTCTAGGGTTGTGGTATTTTGTTTCTTTATTAACGCGTTTTGCATCGGAGTTGACTTTATTCACAGATTAAGCTGATATCTTGATTAAAGATTTGTTGTATTTAAG